TACAATTGAGGCACTATTAAAAAAGATCAATTTAAATGAGTTGGAATCTGTTATAATTAAGATGTTTATTTCAGCAAATGAATCAACCTTGAGGACGAACATTTCTAAATTGTACACAGGATTAAAAAATTTGAAGAAAAGCAAAGCAACAAACATAAAAGTAAGATGGGAAAAAGATGCTAACTGTGGGCTTTCGCAGGAGAACTGGGAGGAGATATGTGGGCAACAGGGGAGAACATCTTGTTCCCTTTCCTGGAGAGAGTTTGGCTGGAAGAATATTGTAAGATATTTCAGTAAACCAGCACAAAGAAATTACCAAGATACAAGATGTTGGAGGCCTTAAAGAATTGTATGGAAAAGGTGCTGGGGGTGAATATTCCACTTATATTTAAGTGGAATATATTTAATCCCCAGAGCAATTTAGTTTTTCTTTTTATCAATAAAATGATTTCTACATACATTATCAAATATATATTATTGTAAAAACAAATCACTTCATAGTGAAATTGTCTGTTTTTGATATTATAATGACAGAAATTATTACTAAAAAAAGAGAAAATAGAAAATCAGCTCCACTGAGGGGCCCTTAGAGGGCCCTAAGCGGCTGCTTAGTTTGCTTATGCCTGGCCTCAACAGAACCGAACAAACTGACTATTCATGTGTAGCCCAAACGGACTTTTTCCTGAAGCCAACTGAACTTCAGAAACTTAGTTTAGCTCAAATGCTAAAACTAAGCATTTGAGCTAAGTTTTAGGAATTCTATATAAATATTGATAGAAGATAATCAAATCTAAAAATTAGGCGTTTGTTGTAAATATTTGGAGGTGTGTATATGATATTCACCAAAAATAATTTAAAAAAAGCTAACAATAAAAATTCTGTTTTAACTAGTTGACATTTCTCCATCCTTATCCATTAAAGTAATATTAAAATTCTTTGGATGGAATAAAAACCCTGACGCATCCCTCCAGAATAACAATCCCAAAGCAGGTGAACAAACTTTTCTCTAATATGTTTTTATCAACCTGGATAACCATTGTGAATAATTTTGTAAGACATTTCTCTTTATTATTTAGGTATTTCTTTGGAAGCAACCAACTCCACTTCCAATTTCTATTTTCAAAAATGTTGGACTGATAAAACATTGAAGTTGCTGAAAAGACAAAATGTGACATTTCGTAACGTCTCGTTGGTTTTCTTAGGCCAGTCAGTGTCACTGGGACGGCGCCAAACACCCGGAACGTTCCTTCTGGTTTACTTCTCTCGGTCCTTTTTTTAATTTTTATTTTTTTTATTACAATAATATGTACAAGTTACGTAAACAGTAACTAAACGAACAATGAGGCTTAAGGAAGGTAACAGAGCAAAAATTACAAACAGGAAAGGGATACAAATAGGAAGAGGTTAAATACAGCAGTCAGGGCAGATTACATGAGAAATTCTTTACAAATTGTAGTATTCTTTATTGGTACAGTATTTAAGAGAATACAAATATGAAGAAACATAGGCAGAAAAAGTATTACATTTGGGTTTAAATTTAAGAAATTTGCAGCTGTGGATATAAAATTTTGCTAAAATTAATATTAAATTTATAATAAATACCTTATTTTTTGGTGTGTCTAAGCAGAAAAAGCCACATAAAATAGTTTTGAAGTTAAACAGTACATCTATTTCCAAATGTCTTTTTAGGAGTAAAAAAATATCTTTCCAAAATATTTGAATATAAGAGCAGTCCCAAAAAAGATGAGTGATGGTTTCCTCAGAATTGTGACAAAATGAACAGGGTGATATTTAAATATTTTACTATTAACAGGATAACATCTATGTAGACACTTCTCGAATCTTATTAGTTATTAAATATTTCTTCAGCAATAACCAAACATCTTTCCAGCAAATATCATTAAATATATTGTCCCAACAAAAGTAGAAGCTGGTTTGCTTATGTGATCTCTTATTATTAGTTCTCTAATACATTTGTTATTAGTCTTACTACTTAAAGACTAATCTCTCGGTTCTTCTCATGTGCGTCACGTTGGGTGTGACGTCAGTGAACGTATCACGTGCGTCGCTCGGATCAGCTGACCGCTGTGTTTCCGGGTTTATTTCTCGGACTTAATTTCGGTTCAGGACCAGTTCGGTTCAGCTCAGGTTCGTTTTTCTGAACTTACTCTGACAAAAAGCGACCAGAGTGACGGTCGGAACCATCCGAGTTCGGTTGGCTTCAGGAAAAAGTCTGTTTGGGGCACACATGAATAGTCAGTTTGTTCGGTTCTGTTGAGGCAGTCAGTACCAGTTCGGTTCGGTTCTGTTCGATTAGACAGTAGAGTTCCGGTTCTGTTGCACTATACGGCATAGATTTGTTCCTATCGGTTCTGTCGGAGCAGGTAGTACTGGTTCGGTTCTGTGGAGTTGAGGATGCCACTGTGTTTTTCAACATCTTGAAGGTAAAAATCATGCTAAGTTATTTGTAGACTTCTCGGCTTTTAACACAATCCAGCCTCATATTTGGATCGAGAAACTTCTTAGCTTTCATCTGGATTTTAATGTGGTGAATTCTTGATGTTTTAACATCATCATTAGGAAAATTAAACCCAGTATTGCTGATATTTCTCATCCTTTACATGCCGAGTTCCAGTTTCTTCCTTCCGGCATCAGGCTCAGACTTCCTACTATAAAAGGTTGGAGCTCTTTGGTTCCATCTCTTTTTAATGCAGGACTCGCACCTGATTAGTGTTTGTAGCGACTGTTGGTCACTAATGAAATAAATGCGCTGCTGTGCTCTTCATGCATTGGTTTGTATTTCATGTCCTGGTATGTTTGGTGGTCTTATTTTTAATCTCTTTGTCTTTTAGTTTTTATACTTGCTGTAACATCGATTGCCCATTTGGGACACGAATAAATCTGAATCTGCTGTAGCAGTCAGCACACGTTCTGTTTGTGTACCGAGACCAGGTTCTGGGTTCTGCTTGATTGTACCTGTAGTTTCACGACCGAGAGCAGGTTGTGTTGGGTTCAGTAGATTCTATTGGGTTCTGTTGAGTTCTGCTTGGTTCTGTTAGGTTCAGTAGGTTCTGTTGGTTCAGCAGGTTCTGTTTGGTTCTGTTTGCAGTGATGAGTGTGTCGGACAGTGATGAGGAACTCTACAACGAGCGGACCGCCCTGGTTCCGGCCCAGAACCCTGCGGTTCCGTCCTACCGACCCGACCCAGAGCTCAGCCCCACTGAGGACTCCGACAGTAAAACGGTACCAGCCCGGTTCTGCTGACCGTGTTTGAGGACAGTGTCGGTCCTGACGGGTTCTGCTCCCCTCGCAGGCCGGGCGGAGCGGCGGGCGGGCCGGTCCGGACCCGGGGGCGGAGCCTGAGGACGAGGAGGAGGAGCCTCTGAAGTACGGCGCCAAGCACGTCATCATGCTGTTCGTCCCCGTCACGCTGTGCATGGCGGTGGTGGTCGCCACCATCAAGTCCGTCAGCTTCTACTCAGAGAAGACCACCCAGCAGCTGTAGGTCTGCCAGGTTCTGGTCCCGGTTCTGGTTCTGGTCTCACCCGGTCTCTCTGCAGGATCTACACGCCGTTCAGCGAGGACACGCCCGACGTGGGCCGCCGGCTGCTGCACTCCGTCCTCAACACCGCCATCATGATCAGCGTCATCGTGGTCATGACCATCCTGCTGGTGGTACTGTACAAGAACCGCTGCTACAAGGTAGGATTGGGACCGGACCGGACCGGAGCAGATCGACCTGATCCGACTCATCATAATCAGCGTCATAAACACATTTAACTATATTTTTGTGGCGCCTTTTCTTTAGATTTTGTGTGTTCATCAGTACATCTTCTAATAACTCGGAATCATCAAGTTATATTTTTCCATTTCCTGTCAACTCTTAACATTTTGTAACATAAAACCACTTTGGGTGGATGTAGCGCCCCCTAGTGCCGCTGCTAGCAGGTTTTCGGAGGGGAAACCCGACAAGGAAACAATATTTCTCCAGCAGACGGTCCAGCTGGTTCTGCTTGTGATCCACATTGATGTAACCGGGTCGGAGCAGAGAATCGCTGCCTTGGTTCTGAACTAGAAGCCAGTCCAACCTGCTGAATGTTCTGGGTCCGTTTCAGCCTTCAGTTCTGGTTCTTCTCTGCTTCAGTTCATCCATGGCTGGCTCATCCTGTCCTCCCTCATGCTGCTCTTCTGGTTCAGCTTCATGTACCTGGGGTGAGTTTCCGTTCTGAAGGACCCAGCCGGCCTGGTTCTGACTCTGGTCCATCACTGGACTCGTCCTTTCTGTGCCATCAGCGAGGTGTTTCGTACCTACAACGTGGCGGTGGACTACCCAACGGTTGCCATGGTGATCTGGAACTTCGGCGCCGTGGGTATGCTGTGCATCCACTGGAAGGGGCCACTGCAGCTGCAGCAGGCCTACCTCATCCTCATCAGCGCGCTCATGGCCCTCGTCTTCATCAAGTATCTCCCTGAGTGGTCCACCTGGGTCATCCTGGGCGCCATCTCTGTCTATGGTGAGTCCTGGAACGCCGTCACCTCCTGCCTCACCGTCATGATGCCTCTAACTGTTCTCCCCTGCAGACCTGGTGGCCGTCCTCAGTCCAAAGGGACCACTGCGGATGCTGGTGGAGACAGCTCAGGAGCGCAATGAACCCATCTTCCCTGCCCTCATCTACTCCTGTAAGTCCAGAGTCTCATCTGGTCTGCGTCTGGTTAGGTCTAATTATAGGTCGATTCTAGTTGGGGGCTGGTCCGGGTCTCCTTCTGGTCTAGTTGGGGGCTGGTCCGGGTCTCCTTCTGGTCTAGTTGGGGGCTGGTCCGGGTCTCCTTCTGGTCTAGTTGGGGGGTGGTCCGGGTCTGCTCCAGATGTGTGGTTGGAGCGCTCTGATTGGTTATAACATTTCTGTTCCTCTGCAGCTGCCATGATATGGACGGTGATGATGGCGAACCCGGCCGATGGCCAGCGCTCTGAAACAGGTCAGACTTCGCTAGTGGCAACGCCTGCTCTGCTGTCCAAGCCTGCAGTCTAAATAGTGTCTCTATGGCGACAGGTTCAGATGAGGAGGCAGAGCTAAATGGTGGGAGGGCGGAGCCTCAAAGCCGACGGCTGATGCCGGTCACGGAAGAGGAGCTGGAGGAGGAACGTAAGTGGAGGAGCTGCAGGTCACAACTCAGCCGGTGTCTGGTTACCATGACGATGATTATGATGGTGTGTGTGCAGGCGGGGTGAAGCTTGGCCTCGGAGACTTCATCTTCTACAGCGTCCTGGTGGGAAAGGCTGCAGCGACCGGTGGAGACTGGAACACCACTCTGGCCTGCTTTGTGGCCATCCTCATCGTACGTTCAGCCCTGTTGCTTTCCTTCCACTAAACTTTCCATCAATCATTTCTGGTGTCATTCAGAGTGCCAAGACAGTTTCAGATGTAAGGTAAGTTTCTTAGTCATCTCCAGGTGGTAGGAGATTATCTAAGTCGGCCACTTTGAGTCTGAGGATTCAGTCTTGTGTTTTCTGAATGAACCAATGAGGCGAGGCTCTGATCCAGCAGCACTTCCAGTCAGAGAGGTAGAGGTAATGGCAGCATCAAGTCTCCTCTAGTGACTTCAGCTAGGAGAGAATGAGCTGAAGAGAGAAAATGGTATGGGGTGTGAGAACTTTGAGCCGGTCATGTGACTCATTGTCCATCTCCTTCCCCCCCTCTCATACCCCAACCCCTCTGCCCCTCCCTCCAGGGTCTGTGCCTCACCCTGCTGCTCCTGGCCATCTTCAGGAAGGCGCTGCCCGCGCTGCCCATCTCCATCGCCTTCGGTCTCATCTTCTACTTCTCAACCGACTTCCTGGTTCAGCCCTTCATGGACAATCTGGCCAATCACCAGTTCTACATCTGAGACCAAGCCCTGCCCATTTCCTCATCAGCCTGCTGGATCGTCATCCAATGACGCATAAAGGTCACTTCCTGTGCAGCTCTGAGCAACAGGAAGTGACATCATACACTCTGTGACCTTACCTGGTGGTCTGCTCAGGTGTTTGATGTATGTAGTTTGTCACGCTGCGATTGGCTGAGACCTGGCCTCTGCATCATCGACCTGGTGACCCACAGACGCTCCATTAAAGGCGTGGAGCTGCAAAGTGGGCGGAGCCACCAGTTTATTACTACTACATCCACTACATTACCCACAATCCTCAGATCAAGAAGTCTGGTTCTTTGGACACTTCCTGTTGAAAAGCCTCATGGGAGTTGTAGTTTCCCATAAGGCTCAAACATTTAAAAAAAATTTTTTCCCTTAATGAGATATTTTACTACATAATTAAACTATTTAAGGGATTAAATAATTTTAACAGGAAGTGATCTGCCAAAGAAAAAGCAGAAAATAATATTTTATAGTATTTGTCTGGTTCCTAGAAAATCCTAGTGATGAATATGATCCCCTGTACGTGTTTGTATAATATTGGCCTGTCTGGGCCTCTGTACGTCTGCCGGTTGATGTTTTGTTTTTAACTTGTTCTTCTGTAAATGTTTCACATAAACAAATTAAATGGAGTTTTCTGGAACAGACTCAAAACTTTTAACTTCTCAGTGACTTCCTGCTCCTCGGGTCATGACCCTTCCTCCCTCCAGCTAAAGGTCAGAGGTCAGCTGACCTCCGAGTCATCCTGAGCTTCACAGGATGCTGCGGCCCATCGGGTCCGTTCTCCAGAACAGAACCGGTGTGTTCTGAATAAATGAGGCGTTTCCATTTTTAATACGTTTATTCTGGATTCTAAAACGGGTTTAGCTCCGCTCCTCGAACTGGGATTTGTTCTTCAGCAGGAACGCCGCCAGATATTCAATAGGGTTGGGAGGCCTGGAGAGAAATATCCACCACAACTTCAGAACCAGCGAGCGGGAGCAGGTACCGACCCGACCCGCAGCAGAACCCACCTCTCCTTGGCCAGGACGGATAGGCCCTGCAGCAGGATGGGAACCACGGTCTGGTCCAGGTAGGCCCGAGTCGGCAGCGCCTGCAGGTCCACCTTCTGCTTGGACAGCTTCTCCGCAGTCGCCTTCTCGTTCTCCACCGTCCGCTGGAAACCAATGACCCGACCCGTTACTCAGACATCGGTTCTGGGACCGAACCAAAGGCGGGTCGGTGGCTCTGTCCCGTCCCAAGGTTCTGAATCCAGTATCTCGGAACGGGACAGAACCTGTACAGAGTGGTGAGTGAAGCAAAGCATGCTGGGAGACTGAGTTACCTGCAGGTTCTCCGTCAGGCCGAACTCCGCATGAGGGTTTTCAGAAACCTGCAGGAGGATTCAGGTTCAGACAGCTGTTGCCATGGAAACCGTGTGTGTGTGTGTGTGTGTGGCTCACAGGTGTGTGTCCCTCCATGGACTGGTCTGGGTCTGTGTGATCTGAAAGGCAGAGCAGCAGTTGCTTAGCAGAAGGTCTGGCTCCTGATCCTCAGACCGGAAATACGCAGTGCTTTGATCACGTGACTAGCATGCTGCAGGGTTTATGTTTTTAGGAAAATAATAAAAAAAACTAAAAAAAATTAAAACGTTTTATTTTTATTTTGTTTTCTTTTTTAAGCCGGATTGCAAGCGTCTCTGTCGCTCTGAGCGCTTCACTGGCAGAGCAGATTTATTCCTGAAAGATATGTTGAAGATGGCTTTATAGTTTGCATTTAAAGCCGACCAATCACACCGCTGGCGCCTCTGCGCTGCAGCAGCTGGATTAAGTTTACCTCAGCGCGCCTCCTTTCACTCAAACTGGACTCAGGCTGACCTGTATGGATATTTACATCAACCCCCTGTGAGGAATTATGATTCTTTCCAGAGTTTTTGATCAAGGTAGGACTTTAAGCCACTCTAGTTAGCTCC